GATAGACTCAAACATTTGGCACCCTGCTTTTGTCTGAAAATGTCGGTCACTCTATACGGTCTCGACGGCCACCCGCACCGAATGATCAAGTCATGCTAGAAATCTATACTCACGATTACGAGGCTTAGTGTTCGGAACGAGAGACCTCTTCTCCTCATTATCTCAAATCGGATCACCCTGGCGAGGCATTGTGTAAGCGGACAGTGGGTTGTTGGGTAGGTAGTTCTGAGTTTGCAAGTCTACGGGAGAAGCTAGACCATCAATATGAACGCGGGGAAACCCACCGGAGTCTTGGGAGTAGAAGTGCCGGCACCTGTACGGAGTAGTATATCTAGACTATTATTCGATTAGTCAATCCACTCTATAAAAATGGTTCTGCTATTTCAGTTTGACTTTGCAGGTATGTGTAGTAGTGCCAAGTCACGTCGCACCCCGACTGTCCGAGACTGGATATGCTCATACGGATACACCCGCAGATCTGCGGCTGGGTAACTATTTCGATTTCCGAAGTTACTGAGAAGTACATGTCTGAGTCAAGTTGGATCCGCTGAAGAGCCCCGAACAGTCTTGTCGTATCGCTTCAAGTCATAAGGACTAGAACAACTTTCTGTTTATAATCATGCCTTCTTTAGGTACCTAGTATGAGCAAAACCATTCTTCCGTAGCGAGTATCAAGACGCCTTGTCTTCAAATGGGAGCATTTTCTAGCTAGCTTAACACATGTGACGTACGACTGGTACAGACCACTGCTAGTGATTTCTGTAGCAACCTCGACCCTTGCGGGGCTTCCCCGAGAATCCGTCAACATACGACCCGGCCCGCAATTACCTACCGGGGGGCGGCCCGGCCACTGGTGACGGGCAATTCTCCGTGCCCAGGGTGCAAGGGATCCCCGCCGCGGCGGACGTATCAGCAGCCGTCACACGCGGCCACCGCTCTGCAATGGTACGAACACAATGTTACCATCGCTGGCTGCCTGGGCCTCCTCCTTCTTTCACCGAATGGCCGGACACTATTGCAGGGTCTTCGTGTGTCTAGAGCGACTCTAGAATCAAGCAACCCTTGACAATGCGTACAACGTAAGCAGAGAATGGAGGTCAAGACCGTTAGAGTACCCACTCGTTTGAGGTTCACTGGTCCGTTGGTGTAATTCATTTGCCGTTCGATCCATTTTCGGAACAAGAACGGCGGCCGCCGCTGTGGAAATCTTGCTTGCCAAAGTCCCAATCTGCGAATTTTGGTGGAGAAGAGGAGCCTTATCGGACTTCGTCTTCTCGGTCATTGGGACAATGCCAACACCCACTTGTGACACTTGAGGGATCGCTCGCAAGGTGGGTTTTGCTCGCATTTTCTCTCAGAAGTCGGCTACATAAGACTCCAAGCACTCCCGACGTTGTCAGCGCTAGCTGACTTGCAAGATGGAGAAGATGCTTGAGGTGCGTTCGTGGCGATAAGGTCAAGTCTCTGCCCCCAGAACTCTTCAATACCAACCACCCGATTGAGAGGCAGCACCAGAAACAAACTGTGAGTAAATCGCTTTCCCGTTGCAATAGACGATGCCATTCTACCGTTCCATCCCCACGTGGGGCCGATCTGGATGGGTTTTGTCCGATGGCATCCAAGCTTCGCCTCGGTTCCGAGCTACCTGTCGTGGATCATTGAGATTGTAATCAAGAATTCGCTCGACTTCTCAACTCCACTATCGTCGTCAAAGTCGTTGAACAATACGTCAAGAATCGTTATTGCCGTTTCGGGCGAACGCACTTTGATGACGTCCGCAATGGAGCTGTTGGAAATCTCATTGTATATAACGAGCTGGCAGAAACCGGCCGGTTTTAGCAATTTGAAAAAGCCTGACATTCTATTCTACGAATAACTCGAAGCAAAACAACTTACTGGTCGACTTTGAACCAAACAAACTAACACCATTCTTCCAGTCGTCATGCCTTCTAAGGACTTTACGGTTCTAATTGCCGGCGGCGGAATAGCTGGCTTGACGCTGGCGAACCTGCTTGAACGCGTCGGAATCAACTATCTAATTCTCGAAGGGTATCGTGAGATGGCCCCCCAGGTGGGCGCAAGTATCGGAATCTTGCCCAACGGTTCTCGCGTACTCGATCAGATTGGACTCTACGATGAGATTAGGAAACTCATCGATGAGCCTCTTTACAAGATGTCTCTTCGCGACTCCAAGGGAAACCCGACGAGTGAATACTGTGGTGTTGGCCAGCAGATCAAGCGGCGGTGAGTACAAGCATATCTAGAGAGTCTCAAGGAACCCGCTGACATCGAAGTGCAGACACGGCTATGAAGTTGTCTTTGTGGATCGCCAAATGATTCTGGAGGTGTTGTGGAAGAATCTGAAGAACAAGGACAGAGTCCTCGTAAGTAAGAAGGTTACGCAAGTCTCTATAGAGCCGTCCAAGGTGAGAGTCGAGACAAGCGACGGCCAATCCTACTCGGGCGACATCTTGATCGGTGCCGATGGCATCCACAGCAAAGTCAGAAGCGAGATGTGGCGGCTCGCCGATAGCCTGGAGCCTGGCTACATACCTGCTTCCGAAAAGAAGGGTAAGAGAGCCAATCGCGTTTTGTTTTCCATTCATGACTGACAAAAGGGTAGAATGCCTGCCGACGGTCTACAAGTGCATTTTTGGCATTTCCGTCATCAAAGACTGGGAGGACGGCACGGTGCAGACCAACTTCAACAAGCACTTCTCGTACCTCGTCATTGCCGGTCCTTCCAACAGAGTCTACTGGTTTCTCTTCGTTAATATGGGCTACACTCACTACGGCCCCGATCTCCCCCACTACACCAAGGAAGACGAGGCGAAGTTGGTCAAAGAGCACCAAGAGGACAAGATTAATGAAAACTTCACCTTCAGGGATCTGTACGCGGCCAAGATCTCTTCAGTTCTGACCCCGCTGCCGGAGTACGTCTTCAAGAAGTGGCACTTCAACCGCATCATGACCATCGGCGATGCCGCACACAAGGTAAGAGAACCTCCATGTGCATAAGTAGTATCAAAGATCTGATCTGTCTCAGTTGGAACCTATTGCCGGACAAGGAGGCAACAGCGCCATCGAGACAGCCGCAGTGCTGGTGAACAACCTTACAGAAGCCCTCAAGCAGAATCCATCAGGCGTCACGACGGAGCAGATCCACAATGTCTTTCTGGAGACCCAGAAGAAGCGAGAACCGCGCGTGTGGCCCTTGGTTCACAGCTCGCACAAAGAGCAGCGTTTCGCCGCCATGGAAAGCCCTTTCTTGGAGCTCGCCGGTCGCTACCTCGTCCCAAAGCTGTCCATCGACGAAAAGGAAGGACCCTGGAGCACAAACTTCGAGCCGGGTCACAAGCTCGACTTTTTGGACGTCCCGAAGAGGCCGCGTGCGCTACCGTACCTCGACGAGCTTCCGAGCCAGAGACTCGACTCCTCTTTGCTACCCAAGCTTGTGGTGGGAGCTATTCTTACAGGCCTCTTGTTCCTCGCGCAGCAGGTTCTTGTGATCGCTCCCGAGGCGGCGAGTGGTGCCAGCTTCGTGGGTCAGCCTTTGAAGACGGAGTACACCGGTAATACCGCGATCGATTCGATTCTCTCACTCCTCTCCTGGGCCTTCTCCGAGGCAACTTCTGGTCCTAACCCGAATACGAGGCTCCAATGCCTCTACTTCTTGATCAATCTCGCGCCCATCATCTACATCTGGACGGTCGAAGGTTACCGCAATGGCAACCAGCTCTCTCTCGTATCCTGGCCATCCCTCTTCGCAGTCTACCAGCTAGTTGGTATCGGCAATATCGCACCGCTCTACTTCCTCGTCAGTCTGCACACGACCAGCAGCGAAGTCTACACCCGTCCCACGGGCCGACCAATCCCATCAAATGTCGCGAAGGCGCTGATCCCAGCCCTCTGCCTCGGATACATCATTCCCACCGCCCTCATGTTTATCCAGTACGGTGACTCCGTTGCCCAGCAGAACGCTATCGCCTTCTGGCAGCCCTCCCCCGTCTACGTTTCGATTCTGACCTGGCTCTTCTCTGGCATTCTTTCGGTCACCTCGCCCATCAAGTCGCTTGATTGGGAAATCTTTGAAAAGAAGGACCAGGGCGCGTTACAGACTGGGTACACTCTTGCGTTCGCCGTCACCGCTATCATGCACGTCTGCGCTCTCGCCTACGCTGGCTTCAGCCCGTCCGTTTCCCTCTTTGAGACCTTTTTCGACCTGCCGAGCGTTGCGTCCATGGGTCTGGGGCTCAACATCGGTGGTTTCTGGAAGTACGACATGCTTCTCTGTTTCGGTGCGGTTGCGGTCTGGTGCCTGTACACTGTCTTTGAGCTCCGTAGGCTAGGATACGTGACGACAAAGGCCGCGATCGGGGTTGCGGCGGTTACTTTGATGGGTCAGGTATTGGTCGGCCCGGGAGCGACCTATGCCGGACTTTGGGCATGGAGAGAAAACGTCATTGCAGGCCTGATGATTGAGTAAGCTCAATTGAGTTGTTCAATGAACAATTAGGTCGATATTTGATTCTTTGAGCATCGCAATCGTTCTGTACTCTGTATCAAGATCCGAGACCGACATCCTCAGCCTGGATTCAGCAGTAACTCGTAATGTCGCTTCTATCAAGGATCAATTATGCTTATTGTGGAAGGTGGTCTTTGAGTTGTACGGATCAACAACTGATTTGCCGGAAGTGTGGCAGATGATGGGGTAGTCGGTCGTTGAGGACAGGGATCCCGGCATTGGCAACTGTAAATAGATGCATGAACCGAGTTAATTAGCCAATTGCATTCGGAGCTAAGTGGGCATGCGAGCAATACGAGGAAAGTGGATACAACTTGATTTCCTAGATTGCCGTGCCCAGCCAAGAAAATCAACAAGCGGAATTTTGAAGTTAAAAGTCGGAAGCGCCGTATCATGTCGTGTTTATGAGACTCGGAGTAGTTCCTGACGACGCAAAACAACAACACCGATAAGATATAGTGCTAGTTCCGTCACGATGAAGGGACTTGTTCTTGGACTCGCCTCGTTGGGCCTCGCCAGCGCTGTTCCTCGCGCCGAACAGGCGGCCGTACCGTTCCGTCGGGGCTGTCAGGTCTCGGACGATGGCGCCATTCAAGCCCGTGATGCTGCCGCTTTCCACCTCACTAGCAAGTCGGCAACGGCCCGCCGTCAGACCTACCCCGGCAATTTCACCGTCGACGTGAACTTCCACATTGCCAGCACCGAAGTCGAGGCAGACCTCATCACCGACGCCATCGTCGATGCCCAGTGGAAAATTCTGCACGACAGCTTCGCAAAGTACAGCATCAACCTCGTCCTCAACTCCACCGAGCGCGTTGTCGACAACCTCACAGGCTCAGCCTTCCTGATCAATGAGGGAGGCTCCGCCGGCTGGGTCTACCATGAGGCCGAGTACAACGCCTACCTCAAGGCCTCCCGCAAGGGCGGCTACGACGCCCTTAACCTCTACTTCTTCAGCAGCTACTCTCCCGGCGCCACGGGGTACTGCCAGTTCCCTACCATTCTTCCCGCAGAGGGGACGGACAGCTTGACCTTCGCCAAGGACTCATGCCAGCTCAGCGCTATGACGATGCCGGGCTTTACTGTCGAGCAGGGCGGCTTTGAAAACTGGAACCTCGGCCACCTTGCTGTTCACGAGGCTGGTCATTGGTTTGGTCTGAACCATACCTTTGCTGGTGGATGTTCTGACACGGCGGGCGACTTTGTTGCAGATACACCAGCACAGAGGACTGAGGTGTACGGGTGCCCATCTGACTCGGATACGTGCCCGGATCTGCCGGGTCTCGATCCCGTTCACAACTTTATGGGCTACGCTGATGACTCTTGGTAAGTTTGCTTTTCGGATCTAGCTTTTGACGCTGTGTTGCTGACAGAGCTCTTAGTACCAACGAGTTCACTCCTGGACAGAAGGAGCGCATGTTCTCAACATTTTTTGGATGGCGTAGAAAATAGACAAAGGCTGTGAATGTGCTTCGATCCATATATCCAGGTCGTATCATACTGAAACAAATGTTCAAGAGCATTGTAGTACAAGCATCACGTCCAAAACTTGTCTCGCATACCCATTCTGGACTATTTACAGATATTGCAGAACGTGATTTATATTATAGACTATCTTGATAATCCATAGCCTCCAATGCCGAGTTGAACTAGGCGTCTATACGGCGAACTCGCCCTCCTACCTCTCAAAAGTTTCCAATTCTTCCAAGACGTGATTGATTAGGCTTATACCGCCCCTTGGGCTCTTTCTTACGGTGTCCGAGCGAAACGAAGCACATTTTGACTGTAGGACGAGTTGTGCGGTGTAAATTCTGAGTCAAGCTTTGAAGGCAGATGAGCATGAGTTTCTGGTGGCTTAGGAGAGCTGTTGGGATTGCACTTTTGCCGTGAGAAGTTTTCGGAGCGCATTGAACTGTTGTTTGAATTTCTAACTTCCTTGGCAGCGTGTTCCGATCGTACTTTTATAGGTGCATGACCCCAAGATTTAGTGAATCGCGGGGTCGTAGCATAGGTAACTACGGTTAGGAGCTCAGATTACCCCAATGTGAATCATGTGAGCAATACTGCTGGTCGCCGTCCTTCATAGTTGCTGATGCAGCATCAGGGGGGGGGGGTGGGGTCTTTTAACAGTAACATGAGCAGTGAATGCAACATTTGAGACTCAAGTAACACGGACTGACGGAATGCATCAGTCTCCTCATCTTCCGCTATCAATACACAGGTAACCCTCAATTCTTGTAATACGTGAGATGTGAACGTAGACTTTTTTGCATCACTCACGAAGATCCCATAGTTCATGTAGTTACTCACTAACACTATTACCTCTTGATCAATCTCAGCTACCACTATTTAAGCAGTAGCTTGCGCCTATTGGCAAATACAGCCTCAAGGCTTTGAGCGGGATTTCATAGCACCACCTTAGAAATCTTAAAACCCCCTGGAACCCTAGTTTGGAAAACCCCGGCTGGGTCGTACTTGGCAGCAACCTCTTTCAGGAACCTGACATTATCATCGCCGTAGGTGCTGATTGGATCCTGTGCAGGGTTCACATAGTTGAGGTACCGCCAAGCCGTCGCCTTCCCATTGGCTTCGGCGTAAGCCTCGAGCTTCGCGGGCATAGCGGCCAGCTTGGCATGGGCCAGCGCCTCTTGTTCTCCAGTGCGAGTCTGGGCTTGTACGAGCCAGACAATCGAGTTGTATGTCAAGGATGTATCGAGACCCAGGACGTTGTTGCCGCTGCCCTTTGTCGCAAAGTGCTTGGGTAGGGGCTGGCTGACGACAGAAAGACCGAGATCAGGCGAGGGGATTAGGGCCTGAAGTTGTACAAGCAGCTCATCATAGAGCTCTGACATTTTTGTCATCATGTCAATGTCGTTGTGGAAACAAAGAGAGAACCATACGTTCCTGGGTAATGTCAGTAGAGACACGCGAAGTGAATCCTAAGAGCGAATTGGTCTCGTACCTCTTGCCTCCAGGCGTGGCATAGTCCGTGATGAGAGTGCCGTACGTTTTCCGCTTTCTGTCATCGATAATGGCAGGAAGACTTGCAAGAGGAGCGAATGAGGTTGAATTGGCGATGCCAGCTGTGTTGATGGCGTTGATCGCAATCATGGGCGGCCCCTCCCCAGAATACGTAAAAGTGACAACCTCAGTGTCTTCTGGATGATCCTCGTTGATGTCAATGAGCCTCACAAACTGCTCCATTACAGCCTGCTTCTGATCGTAACTCATGAACAACAAGCCCCCATAGAGACCTCCTTGCGCCGCCGGGAATGTCTGCATGTCGAAACGAGTCACGATACCAAAATTGCTGCTGCCACCCTTTAGAGCCTTGAACAGATCTGGGTTCTCGCCCGCGTTGGCGTTCACGATTGACCCGTTGGCTAAGACTACCTCGTAATTTTTGACATCGTCGCAGGCAAAACCTCTGGTACCGGTATGAAACGAGGCGCCGCCGCCGAGAGTCAGACCTCCGACGCCGACATTACCCTCGCGTCCTCCAGTCACTGATTGGCCGTATTTCTCGATTTCTTTGTAGACCGATCCCCACCTGGCGCCTGGTTGGATCGATACCGTGCCCTTTTGATTAATTAGAAACGATCCACTACGTTGTCTCACAATGGACACATACACTGCAGTTTTTGTAGGTTGTTGCGTTCATGCGGCTGAGGTCAATTGTCACGCCTTGAGCCACATTGTTGGAGGGGTAGTGAGAGTGACCACCAGCCCGAACAGCAATGTCCCAGTTGCCAGCCGGGCTCCTCTTCACCAGAGCTGAAAGGGCGGACGAGACTTCCTCTGTTGTCTCTGGCTTGACGATGCACCATGGGTGAAGCTGCTGAACGGTTCCGGACCAGTATGATGTGATGCTGGAGTTGTACTCCGAATCGGGCGGAAAGAACACCCGATTAACTAGTCCAGCTGCAACGAGAGCATCGCACTGCGTCGAAAAAAGGTCAGCATCTTCTTGGTTGAACTCCTCAAGAGACGAGATTGCAGGGAAAAGGGCGCTCTTACACCTGAGTAACCAGTTACGTCCGCAACTTGACGGGTACTTGGTTGGAAGCCTGCAATGATTTGAGCAGTCGAAGAATCGAGAAGCAGAAGCGCGGTGCAAATTATGGAAAGAAGAGCCATGGTTCCGAAAGTTGACTGCATCGTGGTGAAAACAAAAGGTCTTCTTCAGACTTCAACGTTTGGCCTGGTGGGACATCACATATCGATGACCGACTCAGCTCTGGAACAGAATGCGTGCACATTCATCTTAAGCAATGCCCGCATCAGTCGAGGTAAGAAATGGGATACGAAGAACGGTCCATTCTGAAAGCGAATCCGAGATGGATTCACAACCAAGCATTTGACAGAGAGACTATTGTGGCAAGCGACACAGGCAAAGTAGAGGGGCCCCTGGTAAAAAGCAACGATTGCATGCTGAATTTGGTAAATAGCGCCGTCACAGATTGCGGTTCTAAATTGCAGATATTTAGCTGCATCGCGCGTATTGTAATGATGCAGAACCGATACGCTGTGCCACCAACCTGCAGATAGTCCCAATAAGTGGCGAGGTCCGGAACGCTCCCGAAGTGGTCTTGGCTGGAGCAGCTGTTTACCGACCTTGGCAATAGAGTACAATTGCAACCAACAGGGTGAGACACTTTGTGCACGGTCAACCAAGAACGAGACAGGCGAGTTGAGATCATAACTATCCCTAAGCAAACAAGCAATGTGTCAGAGACTGCAGACTTCTCTATTCTAACGGCAAGTAGAATCATTCAACTTCTCTCCGTATTCAGCAAACTCGGTCAAACCGGAGGTGGTATAAGTCAAATGTGAAATACTCCTTGCAAATTTCGAACCCATGTTTCTGCTTGTTGGTTGCAGATTTCTCACCCTTGCATGCATCCAACAAACATTGGCGCGCCAACGGGGCACGTATTTCCATTCCAAGGAGTAACTGTAACTCTACCTTCTGTCAGCAAGTCAAAGGCTCGTTCCCAAAGTACAGCTCAGAACCCATGCTCTGAAGGTTCATCTCCGGATTCCATATGTGATTGACTGCTAAAGGGGTTCCCTGCTCGACTGAAAAAATTGGCCTTGTACATTGAAAGCGAACATGGGTACACCGTAGGACCAACAAACCATTATGCACATTGAAGAAAGTTGGGCAGATATCGTTCTGAACCAACAACAGGGAACTCCATTCTTAATATCAAAGGTTCTCGGGGGTTATCTTAGACCGTAGGTATCCCCAAGACGCCACCAGACCGGAATCTTTTCAACCGGTTCGCTCACCCATTGGAACCACCGGTTTTCATCGGAGAAATTGTTGCCAGGACTTGAGCATGAAGCGATAGTTGGTTGGCATTTCTTTCACCTTCGGCTAAAGTCCACATCGCGGTTTCTCCCAACCCTGCTGTCAAAGGAATAAAACGGTGAATTCAGCCTTCATTTCAAAGTTTAAACCGTTAACTTCCACCACCCTTCGCGATGATCCCATTCGTGATCATTCCGCGGGTAGGGAGTCCGCCTACCCCAGTCAATCCCGGCGATCCAGCAGCGCTAATCAACGGCTCAATATGGCCCATGGCGGCAATCTCGACAGTTTTTCTGGCCCTCAGAATCTATTGCAAAGGCTTCATAGTCAGGTGGGTGATGTGGCTTGATGACTGGCTTTTGATCGCCGGATGGGTCTTCCTGATCGCCTCGCAATCCTTCTTGAGCGAGATGATGAAGCTTGGGTTCGCGAGAACCTACGGCGTCACGCCGACCATGAGCACGGTGTTGTATTGCGCCGACAACTGCCACAAAATCTCCTTAGCCTTGACAAAAACCTCTTTTGCCGTTACGCTGCTTCGAATTGCTTCCGGGTGGCAGAAGTACATCATCTGGTTCTTGGTCACTACGATGAACATCCAATTTGTTGTCCACATCATTCTGACTTGGAGAGCTGTCTGTCCTAGACGGCCTGGAGATACGACTCCTCACCTTCCAGGCTCATGCTGGTCAGCTGAAGACGCAATCACCTTGGGCATATTTGGAGGATGTATGTCCTCATTCCCGCGAAGCTAATTCTACGCACCCGATGTCCTGACTGTTGCTAGTGTACTCTGCTGTCTCAGATTTCGTCCTCGCCTTATTGCCATGGAAGATTGTTCTGGGCCTACAAATGAAGAAACACGAGAAAGTCGGGGTTGGAATGGCCATGAGCATGGGAATCTTGTAAGGATGACGCCCTGCTTCTCTTTCGTTCTGCTGTTCTGGCGAAGTTTAGCTGACCCGAAGCTATTTAATCAGAGCGGGTGTGATGGGGATAATGAAAGCTGTCCAAAGTATCGCGATCATAGATTTTTTTGGCCCCGACTGTGAGTAAACAGCTTCAACGATTTCTCGTATTGTTCACTGATGAGAATTATTCAAGACTTTTGGAAGGTCTGCATCTTTTGGGTCTGGGCGATGGCAGAACCAAATGCGACCATCATCGCGGCCTCCATTCCCGTTCTTCGAGTTCTCTTCCGAAACGCACTGAGTAGTCGCCCTTCAGAATATCCCTCCGGCGCATACATTCGATCGAATAACCTTAGCAAGTTTCAGAATCGCGGCATATCTGCCACATGCTCTTTAAGCAATACGGACCGCGACAAGAGAGACAATGACAGTGATCAGGAAATTCTAGGCGGGATTATGAGAACAACGGAGGTATCTGTGAACTCCATCGACTATGATGTCCAAGGCCGTCGATCCGGCAAGAAGACTCCACGGGAGGAGCACGGTATTGAGCTTGCTAATCGATGATCACCGGAGGTACATGTCACGGCCGATGATGACATGGAAGCGTCTGCATTGAATAGACGTCAAACATTGCTCCATGAACTGGGACTGCCGTACGGTCATTTGAGACTTACATTAGTGTGTTGTAGTACACAATGAGTCAAGTAGATAAATCTGGCTACCTCAGGTTTTAAGAGCTCTTGTTGAACGAGAACGAAATTAGGTCCAGCCGTGACGCTTTGTTGAGAGCCAAAGCTTATCGGTACTTTGCTTCCCGTTCTTTAACTTCCTCACCGATTCATCATCCGGGCTCTTGCAGGCCATGGCTTTCCAATGCTTCATATCTTCGGAGGAATTTCTGCACTGGACCCAGGGTGAGTACCTATCGTGGCTCCCGGTGTCGTCTAGTCGCCCGGCGAGAGTTGCCGTGGGAACCACTACCGCCAGAAAATCCGAAACACATCTCAATCGTTTATGTCCGCTTTCTTGGCCTTCGTGGCTTTGTAGGTGTTTGGGGGTTGGTAATGTGGTCGGAGGAGGAGTCGATCGCCAGTTACTTCGGTGTTGTTTACACTTGGATTAGTATGGAGTGTCGTATCTTTGAGCGTACCTAGCCTTCAATTCATTGACAAATGGTTCTCACTCTTCAGAGCAGTGAATTTCTCCGGGCGAAGTGAACTCAATCCATCCGCTAAGACGATGATGAAAGATTCGGCCATCCGACTGATTCATCATTGCTCTCCTGTCCTTCGATTTGTCTGAGTTGTATTGCTGATTCACAGCCTGCAATTGTTTCGAAACGTGCTGCGCCCTTAGGCTCTCTTGAGAATTCAATCCGCTCGCTGTAGCCTCAGCTCTATCATAGGGGCTGTGATCCATAGAGTCGTTTATGTCGGTATATACGCTTTCTCTCAGTCCGCGTCCGGGGATCTCGAAACTTCTACCTCACTCAGAAAGTTTAAACACCCGATTGATTTGACTGGCATCCTCAGACCTGACTCCAGTCTTCACGTCTCTAGTCTGCTGGAATAGTCAAGCCTACTTACTTCTCCAAGCTCAACCAGATATCGCGTTCCAGCCTCAGGATAGAAATTACCATTGGTCTTCAAAAAACCAATCACAAGACTCTCAGATTCTTACCAATTACTCATTCCGCCATCATCATGTGCTTTGGTTCAGGTGATGCTCCCTCAAGAGAATGCCGTCGTCTTGGGCGACGATCCGCCCGATGGGCTAGAGAAGATCAAGTGTCGCGTTAGAGATCCAATATGGTACTCTTAATAGATGGACCGAACAACAGGCCAGATGAGAAATTCCTCACAACTTGTGTGGTGCCTGCCATAGAAGATGCAGGAAGGTGGGAGCAGAGGGGATAGTTTTTAGATTTCAATATATGCAAGACTACATCCCGAACCTAGTGCAGGGTTTGCCAGTCAGTCATATTGAACAATGTTCTCATCAGTCTTCACAACTTACCAAAATGCCCGCGCCTGAGTGACAACGGGCAGCACTCTGCTGATGCCTGGGGGCAGAGCAATTGGGGTGAAGTCCCAGATTTTGGAATGACGCTTACCTGCCTGTAAGCTGTTGATGTAGCGTGCTGGGGAGTGTCGGCGATTCATCTACCATCGATGAGGAACCCGAGGAAGCTTCAGCCCGCATTGTCATCAACTCCTCA